GTAGTCCGTTCTTCTGTCCAACCCATCCTTTATGGATTCAGTGCCATCCTCTGAGACCAGGCCAGTGGACTGTAATGCTGCTACTGGAGCATCGGCCAGGGGGACCTGCAACAAGTCCATATAATGAAGAACCAAGGAGTCCAGTTTTTGGCGACTCAATGGCGGCTGCCTCCCCTGGGTGCTCCCAGGGATGTGAGCCGTGAGCTGGCGGTTGGGAGGGGGTGCGACTGTACACATTCCCCCCCCGGACCCTTTGCGAAGGGCTCCTAACCATGGGGCGCTAAAGGGTTGCCTCTCTCCTGGCACACAGCCGGTGAGTTGAGGCTCCCTTCTGCCCCGACGGTCCTGCCGCTTTGCTTCCGCATGGAACAGGAGCCACTGACTGGGACAAGCGTGTGGAGATCTGGCAAAATTAACCTTACCTGAGATGAAATGGCGAGAATGACGTTGAACTGTGAATCCAAAAAAAGGAGGAAAGTCCCCCCCCTTAATAAGCGAGGGGGAGGAGGGAACTCCCCCCTGCACCAAAACAAATAGAGTTTGAAGCACTGTAAGGGGGGGGACGGAGCTTTAGACATGTGGATTATAATGAAGAGCTGTCGAGGGATTTCTGGGCAATACTGCGGACTTTAGAAACCTTTGGCAATTTTACAAAAGAATAAACATCCTTAAAGATGGCGCTGAAGAAAGCAGAATGAAATCTAAGCCTTCTTCAGGAAGTGGGAATTCAGCTGACCAGGCCATGTGACCTGACTCTATTATAGACTCTTCCAATAGAAAATGGGCGCCCTGTGCTGGCTAAACAATATTCAATTAGGACTATGTTACATCGCACTTCTGAAAGACATCTGCAAAAGGATAGAGACAACAACCAAGAATCAGCTTCTTTAACTCCAAATGGATAAAGGGGAGAATCTAAAATGGACTGTATGTCGTTAAGGGACCGGTTTGTAGATTAAAAGTGATACTTAAAGCGAAGGGATGTGATCTATGGACATATCCTGAAAATATTAAAAAATGATAATCTGCCCGGTGAAAGAGTGGTTAGATTCTCCAGAAGACATATGGATTAAAGCGATAAAAGGGAAGAATGAACTCTATCCTAAAGACTGACCAATGTCTGCTGCAACCATTAGGATCAACAAAGGAAGAAGATAATGAGGAAGAAGACTGTAAAAGAGGAAGAGAAGATGAGACAAGTACACTTACTGATGAGGACTGGACTCTAAGATGGGGGGTGGTCCCCCCAAAAATAAATTTGATTGTCATTTGGGGAACAAAAAGTAAAAAAAAACCCGAGATGCTAATGTTTTCTGAAGCCTGCCTTAGCGGGTTTTTCTCTCTCTATGATCTTGTATAGCTCCTTCATATAGTCAGATTTGTTGGAATCGATAATATAAGCGATAAATTATTATTAATCACTCTCAACGCCAAAAAAAGAAAGAAAAATGTAATGGTTAAAAAAATGCGGTTGTATTTCAAGTAATGTATGATCTCCATCTCTTGGGGTTTTAGTGGTTTTCTTTACTTTCTCCTGTAGTTTGTAGACTCCCCTCCCTTGTTGTTTCTTTGTAGTTTATAGAAAATGCAATTAAAAAATCCCCTACCGGGGGGGGGGGGCTAAAAAAAGAAAAGAAAAAAAGAACCAAGGAATAATTTTTTGATAATGGAAACTGCCTATTAAATACAGGATAGGCCACTCTCTCTTCATCGTCCATGTTAAACAGGCATGTGGGCTGCTAAGTGACTATGGGCTCCTCCTCTGAGGAGAATTCTCCCTCCTCCTTCTTGGGTTCTGACTATGAGGATAGGCTTTCCATCCCTGAGAGGGTGCCCTGGGCCCTGGCGGGGGTGGCAGCAGAAGAAGAGACTTGTGAACTACCTTAGTAGACTACTGTAAGCAAGGGTCCAAATGGGATAAAGCATGTCCCTAACTACACCTGGTCCCTTCCCTAGAGGCAGGTAAGGGTGACCTCAGGCTGTAGTGCTTGGAACCCTGAGATGGGGTAGAGAAGGAGCATTTTTGTACCCTTTCAGCTCTTCTCTCATGGCTTTCCTTGGAAACTCCATTGTCTCAGCCAACAAGGCGTCCACCTGCTCACAACCTTGGAGGTGGAACAGACTACACATTATCCTCTTGAAGATCTGCTCCGGTGGTCAGGGAGTCCATGGGCCAGAGGGGGGTTAACAGAAGTTCCTGGTGTGCCATCACAGCCCCTCTGCGCCAAACTGGCAGCCAAGAGAACCATTTGCACTTAAGGAACTGTTTCCATACCTTTTAATGCTACTGTAGCCCTTCCCCATGGGCCAAACTGGCAACTGAGGGAGCCACTGGCACTTGAGGCACCATTTCTGTGCCTTTTTTTATGATGTGATTTCAGGTGCTTTCATTTTTGAGGCAATGCAAGTCTTCCCAGTCCACTCCAGGCTACAATGATGGAGCAGCTCTCTCCACGAGGAACAAATGAAGGAGAAGAGAGTCCCTATCATTCTGGGAGAGAAACCCATCTCTCATGCATAGCTCCAGAGTCTCGGAAGTTTGCTGGGCAACCATTATGATGGGATGGGGAGCAGAAAGAAGCCACAGAGACAAAAAAAGCAGAAGGAAGGAACCGAGGAGGGGTGTTAAGAACATAAAATAAGAGGCTGAGAAAGGATAGAAGTATCTCTCAAAATCTGAGGTCACTCTGTGGAGAAAGGCAAGGCGCCCAATCAGAAGCTGCACTTCCTGTTGAGGCAGGAATAAAAAAATGAAACTGAGTCCCAACCAGGAGACAGGAAATTGAAGAACATAAGAACATAAGAGACGCCAATGTTGGATCAGGCCAAAGGCCCATCTAGTCCAACACTCTGTGTTACACAGTGGCCAGAAATACCAGGTGCCATCAGGAGGTCCACCAGTGGGGCCAGGACATTAGAAGCCCTCCCACTGTTGCCCCCCCCCCCAAGCACCAAGAAGACAGAGCATCACTGTTCCTGCCTCCCTGAGCAACTGGTGGAAATCACCCATTACAAAATGCCCTTCTCCTCAGAGCAAGAACTAAAATTTGGATTTAATACTACTACATTGCAGGAAATACTGTACTTATCTCTTTCCATAAAATGACTTTATACCTGTTACCATAAATCCATGAGAAAATATATACGTAGTTTTCTGTAATTTGATGGATGTCAGCCTGAGACAAGCTCTATTAGGGATTACTCAGGAGAAAGGGATTCCTCAGATGAAGAGGAGCCTCATGCAGCCAGTCCTGAACCTAGTGGAATCAGAGCGCTACAGACTACTCAAGGCTCACAGCCAACAGCCGATGCAGAGCCGCCGCCACCCAGCCCCAATGCAGCAGGAGAGACTCAGTTGATTAAGACCAGTCAACCAGTCTCACCTGTACCTTTCACGTCCTGGAGACAGAAGCTTAGAAGGGAGCTGCAAGCAAGGAGACAGAGTACAAGTCTCCTGGCCCATTGCCAGCTGCTTGCTGATGATAGCCTGGAGTAGCTGCAGCAGTACTCCCAAGCAGCTGGTTGCTAACAAGGGCTTGTTAGGAAGTACCTATAAAACCCAGTGCTGGTAGCCTGCATGTTGTGGAAGCGACAAGTCACCAACCTCTTAACTCAGTGGCCACTGCTCTGAATTGTGCTCCTTGGACTGGCTTTTGATGCTGACTCTGGAATCTTCTTCCCTGCACCTGTGAATGACCTTGGACCTTGCTTCCTGTATAATGTTTTGAGCTGGACTCTGCTTACTTGATGACTGAACTTTGACTCTGGAGTTTGGCTTGGACTGACCCAAGATTCTGACAATGAATTATTTTTTTCATATATTTGGATTATTCCCCTACAACCACCAAGGCTCGGTTTCTTTTTATCTTTTTGTGGCCATTTCTAGGTACATTATTAAGATACTTCTGTCACTCAAAAGTTTTAATCACCTAAATGGCAAAATATCCCAATTTAATTGGCTTGTGGTATCTTCCAATGAATTATGCTCCATGAGATTATGAGCCAGCATAGTACAGTGGTTAGAATGTTAGACTAGGATCTGGGAGACTCAAATTCAAATCCCCATTATGCCACGGATGCTTCCTGGGTAACTTCAGGCCAGTCATACTCTCTCAGCCTAATCTATTTTACAGGATTGTTGTGAAGATAAAATGCAGGGCAGGAGAATTACCACTGTGGGTTCCCCCTGGAGAGAAAAATGGGGTATAAATGAAGTAAATAAATGTTGGTAATTAGTTGGCATCCTAAACAGCATATCTGAGCAATTTGGCACTTATAAGCATTAAGCCTTGTCTCATCCATGTATGTGCTTATCTTGAACTGCGAACTATTTTTGAGCAGAGTTCCTTTTTGAGCAGCTAAAACTTCTCTCATCACCACCTGAATATGCCTGAAAAAGTTAGTTGTAGATTTTCCAGGCTGTATGGCCGTGGTCTTGGCCATACAGCCCGAAGACCACGGGGCCATACAGCCTGGAAAATCTACAACTAATGAACTCCAGCTGTGAAAGCCTTCAACAACATAATGCCTGAAAAAAAGCTTCGTCTGCTCATTTTCTGGTTGATGTTACTGTTAAAGGCATGAGAAGAGACCTGCTAGAAGAAGAGTTGGAAATCCATTCCCAGGCCACTTCCAAATAAATTGTTTTGCCTTTTCATATGCCTGCTCATTGCACTTTCCAGGGCTAGTGGATCAACTGTACTTTGAATAATGCAAAATCTGATTATAAGCAGCTTTAGTAAAAAAAACTTATGTCACTCAACATACCTATGAAATGCTGTTATCTATACTTCTATGGCTTTTGGATAATTCAGAGTGCTTGCATAATCTGTTCATAAACTAATCAACATTTACTGCACAAAGGATTGAGAGCACCCACTGAAATCACTTGGTTTCTTGTTGCTCTCTCTGTTCCAGCCAATGGAAATGAACCTCCTCAAAACACCAAAGCTCATACAGGAAATTCAGAGAAAGACAACAATTATTTCAGGCATACTAACCTGCTTTTCTGGTCCCTTGATTAAAGAACAAAATAGCTGCACTTGAGACAGTACTTGGAATGGGCACAGTTGCCAGGATGCTGCTGCATTATACTCCTTGCAAATAAAGAAATACAAATCTACTTATGTGAAGGACAGTTTCCACCACATTTGCAATCCACCAAGTTTGTCATTTAAGAAAGCATCACAGCTTAAGGATAGCTTGTGGGAAATAATATTCACTTGAACAGTTCAGGTAAATAACAGAGACAAACATTCCATATGCATGATGTGTTGGCTGCAACACAAAAGCATAATGTTTCTTTACATACTCAAGACCTCTGATCATACTTCACTGTTACAAAACAGATGTACTGTGACCAATTTTACTATCTCTTCCATGGTAGTGTCATGCCAAATATTAATAAATGCTTAAAGTTGTACTAATTTCAGTGAATATTATCTACTAATGTTAATATTTTGCATATGCCATAACAGGAAAATCTTACACAACACCAGCACTCAATAAAAACAGGAAGTGCTACGGAGAAGGACAACCTCTCATCAAGTCTATACTTGACTGCCCACTTCAAAGTGATGCTATAAGTAGTGGGACTGACTACAGAGTAAATATGTATAATTGGGCTGATGTGATAAATCAAAAGTTTGTCAGTCTCTTTATGCCAATTATATCTGCAGATCTCTTAAATGAACATATCAAAGGGTCTGAAAAAGCATTTGGGAGAGCCAGTTTGGTGTAGTGGTTAAGTGTGCGGACTCTAACCTGGGAGAACCGGGTTTGATTCCCCACTCCTCCACTTGCACCTGCTGATGTGATGTTGGGTCAGTCACAAGCTCTGGCACAGCTGTTCCTGAAAGAGCAGTTTGTGTCAGAGTTCTCTCAGCCCCACCCACCTCACAGGGTGTCTGTTGTGGGGAGGGGAAGGGAAAGGAGTTTGTAAGCTGCTCTGAGACTCCGTTCTCCATAATCCAGCGAATGTTGGCAATTTGATCTCTAGTTCCTCTACCTCTTCGAAACCCAGCTTGTACTTCTGGCAGTTCTCTATCCACGTACTGTTGAAGCCTAGCTTGTAGGATCTTGAGCATGACCTTGCTAGCATATGATATGAGTGCAATTGTGCGATAGTTTGAACATTCCTTGGCATTGCCCTTCTTTGAGATTGGAATGTATACTGACCTTTTCCAATCCTGTGGCCACTGTTGCGTTTTCCAAATTTGCTGGCAAATTGAGTGCAGCACTTTAACAGCATCATCTTTTAAGACTTTGAATAGCTCAGCTGGGATACCATCACCTCCACTAGCTTTGTTGTTAGAAATGCTTTCTAAGGCCCATTTAACTTCACATTCCAGGATGTCTGGCACGAGGTCAGTGATTATACCGTCATGGTTGTCAAGGACATCGAGGTCTTTCTTGTATAGTTCTTCTGTGTATTCTTGCCATCTTTTCCTAATCTCTTCTGCTTCTGTTAGGTCCCTACCGTTTTTGTCCTTTATCATGGCCAGCTTTGCATGGAACGCTCCCTTGATTTCTCCAATTTTCTTGAAGAGATCTCTAGTCCTTCCCATTCTATTGTTTTCTTCTATTACTTTGCACTGTTCATTCAGGAAGGCCTCCTTATCTCTCCTTGCTGTTCTCTGGAAATCTGCGTTCAGTTGGGTAAATCTTTCCTTTTCGCCTTTGCCTTTCGCTTTCCTTCTTTCCTCTGCTATTTGTAAAGCCTCATCAGAAAGCCACTTTGCTTTCTTACATTTCTTTTTCTTTGCAGGGTATAAATCCAATCTCCTCTTCTTCTTCTTCTACATACACATTTGGATTTTTATGAATCTAGAATGTCTTGTTTACTGAAGATTTAACTTATTTAGAGTATTTAAATTCCACCTTTCTCCCCAATAGGGTCCCAATATGGTTTACATCCTCCTCCTTTTATTCTCACAACAGCCCTGTGAGGTAAGCTAGGCTGAGTATGACTAACCCAAGGTCACCCAGCGAGCTGCAAATGCACGTGGGGATTCAAACTTGAGTCACCTAGATTCTAATCTGACACTCTTCACTACTACAACCAAACTGGCTCTTTAAGACGCTATTATGTTTGTGCTAGGCTATGACCAATGCTCCCTCTAAACTGTGGAGTCTTGTGAGTAAAAATTCTACTTTGTGAGCTACTGGCATTAAAGTTGTGAGCGAGCAATTTGGCTACTGCATAAATTAGTTTGCTCTGGAGCCATCCTTCCTAAACTAAGACAAAAATGTGTGAGCCGGAGACTAAGAAACTGTGAGCTAGCTCACACTAGCTCAGCTTAGAGGGAACACTGGCCAGGACTGTAATAAATCATTTATTCATTTATTTATGCTATTAAGATGTTCCACAAACAATAACCATTTATTACTTTAAGCATCTAGAGGTTAAAATCAACACAGTACATACAAGATTGTTACGCAGAACAAATGCTGAATGCATGCCAAGTTATATACAAAGGAAAAAACTGGGGGGGGGGGAGGAGCACAGCCTGTTCCCTTATTATAGTGTTCTATTCTGTTCAAGAGAGAGCAATAGCACCATCACTGCAGCAGGAACCTCCTGAAGAACCCAACACTGCAGATGCAAAAGGAGTGGGCGGCTGCTGCCGCCTCTCCCCGATGTACAAGAGGAGAACGCACAATCCTACCCCTATCATCCAAACAGTCATCATACACAAAAGAGACGGAGGAAGGGAGCACGGTGGTCACATGGTGTACGGTGATCCAATCCGTAAAGGTTCTGCCTCTGTCTGGTTTGAGAATGAGGCTCTCCCAGAAGCACAGGCGATTCGACAACAAATAAGAGGAAACAGCTGACGAGAGCAAGAGACCTGTGGGCCCCGAGTCAGCGGCCCCACACACAACCACGAAAGACAGCAACAGACTCTGCCCCTTGAGAATAAAAAGTATCCCATCGAGGACGGGAGGAAAGAGGGACTGCTTCATACGTGCACAAATAAAAGGAAGTGACTGTACTACTCAGCAAACTATTCTTAGGGAGAACACGGCGGCGTTAATTTTAATAAGATGTTACCCTCGAACTGGAAAGCGAGGAGTGAGATATTTTAGAGCAAAGAGAAGAG